CGCGCACGTACATACATACGCGCGACCGTGATTGCGCGAGGAGAATGTAATTAGTGACGGGACGTTGCTGTTGATCCTTCGTAGTGGTCGTCGGTACTGCCGGCCCGTCGCCCGCAACGGTATTCCGGACCGTTTCCAAACGTCGTCCACGAACCGTGGCCATGCCGGCTGTCCCGCTTAAGGAAAGGGATTCGTCGTCTCTCTCCGGAGCGCGTTTTACGCGTGATTAAGCTCGATGCTTAAGCGGAGGTACGAATATTCTTCGATCGAGCGCGTTATGTTGTTGAAAAAATGCGCGAAAGCATCTGCCGCGCACGTAGACTTTGTTGCGCGTAAACCGGAGTCTCGTGTGTGCGTGTGTGTGTGAACCGAGGAAAAACTCCACGCGGTAGAAAATAAGTAAGACCGCGGTAAATGCGGGAATGAGGAAGGAGGGTGTAGTTAACGGCGGGAAGAAAGTGCGAGCGGTATAAATCGCTCAGACATTGTCTAACGCGATACGTACTACGCGCGAGGATTATTTCTCCGCGTTATTTTCATTATCGTCCTTAGGTAGAAACACGAATTGTGCGACGGAAGAGTATCCGAAGGATCTCGGGGAATCGGTAGTCCGCTTTAAATCGATCCGAGATCAATGAAGATTATTGCACTGAGAAGCCCGTTTAATTGACTCGAGCAAAATTCTTGCATACTCGTACAACCGAATACAAATTTGATTTGAGTCAACTAAACGAACCTCCACGAACGACGAAACAATCTTCATTTATCCCGAATTCGAGCAAGGACGGTGTGATTTCGAATAAGTTAACGGAGGGAGCCGATGCCGTTTTCACGGATCTAATTCGATATCCATATTAGTGTCATAACATTATCGTTTGCCGTACTAAGGAACGACTTCCATTTGTGCTCTTTCGCGTGACGATGGTATAGTCCTAAGCAAGGTATTAGGATCTTTTAAACGTCGCAGGTAAGGCTTTCTCCCCGAGGAGCGTTGATCCCGTGGGACGCTCTTCCCCGTGGACGGACAGCACGTGCAGGGGCTTTATTGTGCCAGGTAGACGCAAGGTGCTGAGTGAGAACAGCCAGTAAGGTGTAGACAAATCTCGACGCGCGCGCTGCCTTTGTCTCGCGTAAATTGGCCGCGTTCGCGCGTTGTTTTCGAGCGACTCGACCCGCGACGTTCATCGATCATGTTTTACCGAGCGGTCCGCGGTCTTCCCAGCTTATATTCCTCGCGGGACATTTCCCGCTTGAGCCGCGTGCTTCAACGTTCATTTGAAAATGTTTCGGCTTTCAAACACGCTGATCAAGATAGATGATCCACTTTCGCGACCGCGAGATTCACGACGAGCCGGCGAGAGTCCTTCGTTCCTTCGATCGACCGGCCGATCGATCGTATCGGCTCGCCGCGGCGTCTCTCATTGAATTAATGTCGAATTTTTGGCCGCCGTCATCAAAGCGGTCCTGATTGCTGAGCTCCGCGCGCGCATGGGTGCCACAGTTGATTGGGATCATTGTAGGGGGCATTTTATGCACCGAGCATGCACCGCGGCTCCAACTTGAATACCGAATCAGAGAGAACGAAGGAGAGACCGAAAGACAGAGAGAGAAAGAGGCAGAACGAGAGAGAGAGAGCGCGTGGTGCGGGGTAGTGGGGGTTACCGGTTCCAGAGGCTGTGCACCGTAACAGTAGAAGGCTGCCTGTCTCCCCTCCTGTCCCCGTCCTGCCGTTCCCGTCCCTCTCGTCCGTTTTAATAATCCTCGACCCCCTTTAGAGCGATCCGAACAAGGATAGAACACAGCTGGTCCCCCCTTTTGCCTCGTGCCCGGTGTTAAGGGGTACCGCCCCCTACTGTGTATATTAGTCTCGCTTGCTTCCACCTATCGTGGCGATCTCTCGCTCTTCCGCATCGACTTCTGCTCTCTCTCTCTCTCTCTTTCTCTTTCTCTCTCTCTCTCTGAATGTTCGAAATTCTAAAAGAACGTGCTTCGGGACGGTATGTTTCTAACGTTGCACGGAAAATTAAATATGCGATCTGCGTCGTCTCCCTCTTTCGTTTTATTTCCTTGCCAAGATTGTAGCAAATTTTAACCTTCACTTGCGTAACGACGCAGCCTTTATGCCGCACATTGGACAATTTATATTCGACGATTTTACCGATTCCTTTGTCGACCTGTATCTGGTCACCGTTTGTCCTGCGTTTTCTTTCTTTTCCAGTTTTTCGCTCTTTCCAGTGAATTGTCATTGTTCTGTATAGTCACCTTCAAAATCTACCGTTGTCCCAGTCGCAGGATGAAAAATAGAACAATGATTAAGGCAACTTTGACACACTCGTCGACCGCTCTACATCGCTGCGCAGATCTTGTACTTTGTCGGAGTGGATGGGCTCCTCTCTTCCTCAGGTCAAAAGTATTCCCAAAAGTGCCGTGACTCTCTCTTCTCCCTCTCTTTCTCTGACTCTTGGAATTTTTACGCACACGGTGGCCGACGGGGTTAGTCGCACCGGTGCCGAGTTGCAACGCTCGTCACAAATCTCGCGCTTCCCTCGTGATTGCGGCGTACTCGAGCATCTCGACTTCCCAGTCGGCGATGATCGTTTGATAACTAGAAATTTAGTCGCAGCCACGACTCACGTGTCCCGCATTGTGACATGACAACGTAACGATGATACCCGTGCAAAAGGGGTACCTGCGCCGAGGTATCTCATTACGACTTACCGTAAATGAGGGAACCAAACGACCCGACGCGATAGGTCGCGAAGGAGGTAATAAAGTAACGATGTTAGGCCGTGCGCTCGTTGGACTTCTTTTTCCCTTACGGATTGTGTGGTTGCCGGGAAGAATCTCGATATATTCTAGACAAAAGGGAATCTCTTCTCGCTCGGGCGTAATCGCACGACGGCCCGTTTCTCCAGATTCTCTCAAGGACCGAGGTTACCGCGCGGACTTACACGATGCGTGTTGAATAATTCAGCGTTAATACTTCAGCGAAACTTAAGAAAACGCAAGCGAGCGGATGCGTGAGGTGGGAACCTTCGGACATCCCAGATTAGATTGCCGGCGGTGAAGCGACTCTTGAACAGTGTTTCGGGACGAACGACGCGTTGGAGAATTTCACCATTTGAGGATTCATTGTCGAAAGATTTAGACAGTCCCTTTTCATTGCCGAGAATTGTCCTTTCGACTACTCATTTGATAACAATAAAATCTACCTACAACAACTTGGGCCGCTTTGAATACCTTCAAGTAACGTTAGGTGAGCGGTAGGAGCGTCAACGTTTCGGTGCAGACGCGTCCTAAAGAGAGACGTTCATCGCACCGGGGACGTGTGCGACTTGAGACGGGAAAGACCCGATGACGATCGCGCCACGGAGACTACGAGGAATGAGAGGATCTCGACGGAGCGAAGCAGACGTCCCGCGAAGAGGAGCGAAAGGGTGATAGCGAGCTTGCGGGAGCGAGAAAAAGTAACGGGAGAGAAAAAGGGAGAGAAATATAACACCGTCGGGGCTCGGGGCTGGGAGGGGAGCGAGGCGGGTAGAGCGCGGAAAAAGAGAGACGGCCGCGCGCGCTTGCGGAAGAGAGCATCGGCTCGATCGGCGTGGCGCGTGGTTCGAGTGGGACAGGAGCGGAACGAGTCACGCTAGAGCGACGAGGACGACGAAGAGGCATAGAGAAGCCGAGCGACGGAGAGACGGCGGGGCAGAGTCGGGCTAGCGCGGGCGCCCGAGCGAGACCGAGCCGAGCCGAGGGCAGGCAGTGCCGTTGGCGTAGTAACGCGTTGAAGCTCGTATACCGAGCCTGCTTGCCTGTGCCTGCCTGCCTTGCCCTTCCTCCCCCGACATCCCGCAGCCGACCGTTCGTCGCCGACTGCGACTCTATCCGTGTGAGCGCGCGCCTGTATTGCCGCGCCTCTTCGCGTGGTGCCTCTGTCGGTGGCGAATACACGCGAGCGCCCTGATCTCCGCCGTGTGTGCGCGTGTCCATGTGGCCGCGTGTGGATGGGGGTCCCGGCCCGGCTCGGCCCGTCCCGTTCCGCGGAGTATCGCACCGTTCGCCACCCGCTATCCACAGCAGTTTCAGCCAGCCCGCCCGCCCGACTGCCTGCCAGTGTCCCACCGCACGCCGAACCGTTTGCACTCAGAAGCGATCAGAGAGCCCTTCTCTGCCGACCACCCCGCTCGCTCTCTCGGCTTTCCGTCGCCACCCCACTCGCGTCACCCACAGTCGATCTTTCTCTCTCATCTCCCTCGCCTCCGTTTCCATTCCCTCTCTCTTTTTCTCTCGCACCTCCCTCTCCGTCTGTATCACGCCGGCGTTTCTTCGCGTCCCACTCTGTCCCACCGAGGTCTCTCCTCGTCCTCCTCTCGCAGTCGAGTTATACTCGGCGAACGCACCGGCTATCGCGCTCTCCTTCTCCGATCTTCGTCGGCTCGGTTCTCTCTCGTCGCCCAACCCCCTTCTCCTCCCTCCGTCTCGTCCATCTCTCTTCCTCCTACGTGTTTAGCCTCCCGCCTAGCCCTCCGCCACGCCACTCCACGCTCCCTCCACGTTCCGCTCGCGACTCGGCTGTCTCCGTCGCGCCGCGGCAGCCAGCCGTCCTCCCTCTCGTTCCTCTCTCTCGTCCGTTCCTCCCGCCCGTCTCGCTCCGGAGTAACGCCGGTGTGTACTCCCGCTGTCACCTGATCGCGGGACGCTTTTCGCGGGTGAGATACCGCTCGGCCACCGAGTCAACCCAGTCTGCCGGCGCTCGCTCTTGCTCCGGTTCTTCCTTTTCGCTTTCCTTCTCTCTCTTTCTCTCGCTCCGTCCGTCCCCGTCCTCTCTCTCTTCATCCTCTCTTTCTCGCTCTGCCTTCTATTCCTTCTAGCCCCCCCCCCCTTCTCCGTCGCTCTCCCC